ATGTGGGTAAAATAATGCCCTTCGACATGATAAGGGACCTACATAAATGAGTCGCTAAAATTTGATCCAGCGTTTTGTGCACCTTCCCCATAATATCCACTTTGCCCAAAATGCGCTTCTTAGATGCTCATAGTATGATGTGAAGGCAGTGTTGAGGGTTGTTGTTGGATCGGCCCGGACGATGGCATTCATCAGCATTCGAACAAAAACTTCGTAGTGTGGCTTGAGGTGAGTGGCAACATTGAGGCGCGCCATCTCGTATTCAGCAATGGCTGTTTGGCTTTCACTGATGCCGTAAAATTCATCAACGAAACTTTTGTAGGTGGGGTTGAAGAAGAGTTGAAGGTTGGGGTGGTTGGCGTAGGCTTCCGGAATGGTAGTGGGGTAGGGTGGTGTTGCTGTAGAGGGTTGGACTGGGAATCCTGGAGGTGCAGGAGTGGGGGCATGATCCATTGGTGCAACTGAGGGCACTGGGGAGTTCATCCGAGGGCGTTTGGTTGGAGCCGGGTCGGTAAGGGGAGATTTGGTGGCTGCTGAGGGTTGTGATGGGGCAGGCTTGGGTCGAAGGAAGGATGGAAGCAAGGGCTGGTTTGGGAACTTCCGTGCTTGGGTTGTGTGTTCGGGTGGAGGAGCAGGCTCCGGTGGGGGGCCGATGTAATACTCTTTGGGTACATGTTTGTGCACCGTCTCCTCCTTGATCTTCTTGTTGGTGTAATGGCAGTCAAAAAACAGTGTATGGTCGCTGGGTTCAGAGTCGTATTGCCGGAAGCGGTATGCAAAGAACAGGAGCCGTGGCGTCTTGGAGACAAAGTCTTCAGCCAGGTGTGGGGGAATGCGGAGGCGTGCTGATGTGAACACGGACACCTGTCCAGAGTCTCGGATGGTTGCCAGGGCATTTCGTTGGGTGAGGACTAGATTATATCGGTGTTTACCTGTGGGGAACGGGATGGGGTCCAGGGGAACATTGCCGTACATGGGCGGGACTTCAGACGACTTGGCTCGTGAGATGGCTTGGCGGACCGCATGATCGTATCCCTCGTGAGAGGTACAGGAGAATAGAACTGTCGTAGAGATGGAGGAACCATTACTGGGGTCTCGTGCTTCAAAGTAGGAAGGACGAACACCGAAGTGGTCGTGGAAGTCGTCGTACGGGATGAGTTGCTTTGCAAATGGATTCGATTGATCCAGGTGCGGGACGATGCGGGAGTGGAGGGCGCGCAAGAAGTGTGCGTTCGCCTCCGGAGTGGTCTCGTGGGGTCCGTTGCCAGCTCCTCCGATAAGGAAGCCTGGGAATAGGCCTCGTGCCTTTTCTACGTGGGAGTTGCAGGCGGGGACGAAGATGACAAGGTGGGTGGCCGCGGGATGAGTAGACGGGCTGTCCCTAGCCTTGCCGGACTTGAGAGTAAAGCCTCCCCGGAAGTGTTCGTAGTGGTCAGCGGTGTGGAAGCAACATTGTTGACGAAAGAACTCCTTTGCTTGGGCGTAGAAGAGGCCTGTATCTGCTTGGTCTTGAGTGGGCGCATGGCTGACTGTGAGTGCAAAGACGGATTGCTCAATCTCTTTGGTGCCCCGCTTGATGGTCTGACAGTTCTTAAACCTGACGGAGTGAACTTGGAAGGTGATGATGCCGTATCTGGAACGGTGGTGTTCGATGGAGACATTGATGATGTTCCGTATGTCGATTTCGAGGGCCGAGGTGTCTTCTCCGTCAAAGTGGGTGTAGACGACTTGGAAACGTGCCACAGGACCATCACAGGGGTCTTCGAAGGCATTGTTTGGCTGGAGCGGGTCGGGGATGGACTTGGATCTCATCTGAAGGAATGGACGGTAGTTGTCATCGAAGGTCTTCGGGGGAGGCGGGGCCTGGGCGCCACGGTGAGCCGCGGCAGTGTAGCTGGGAGGAGTCAGTGGCTGAGTGAGGGGCGACGTTGGTTGGTCTGTGGGCGTCGTTGGTTGGTGAATGGCGGTAGGAACGGCTGGCGTGGACGGAAGGCCGCCCGGCGTGCCCTGAATATGGCACGCGTTGGGAGTCGGGGGAGCGTGGTCGATGGTGGTCTGAGTCAGGCATGCATTTGGAGCAGTCGCAGCCGGGGAGGCAAAGAGTTGGGTCGGCGTGATGGCGGTGGCAGCCTTGGTGGGAGTGGGAGCAGGTGTGGTCTTGGAGAAGCTTGCTAGGAGGGCCATCAACGCTTGACACTGGCTGGGATCCACGGTGTAGCCGGCGCTGTTGAGCTGAGTGAGAAGGTCTGGGACTGGTTTGGTTGTATGAGGCATTGGGACTGGTGTCATCGGTGGGGGCTCAAAGGAGATGTTGGTAGGGAGGAATGCTGGTGACTTAACAGGGGTGGCTTCCGGCGGTGGGACTTCCATTTGGGCAAAGAGATTGAAGAGCGGCTTGCGGGGAACTGCTGGAGGATCTGGAGAGGTGGTTGGTTTAGCTGGTGGCTTTCTGTCTAGCTCCGAAGCCATGTTATCCGTGGCAAAGGAGACTTTGGTGGTTTCGGCGTCAACGCTTGGCTGAGTCATGATGGTAGTTGGGTTGGTGACTGCAGAGACGTCGTCTTCGTTGTCACTATCGGAGGCAGTGGTGCTGAGGCTGGAGAATCGGTTGGCTAGGAGCTTGACTGCGGAGAGGGAGTAGGAGTCGTCTGTGGAGGAATCAGACTCGTGACGACGAAGGGCAGGGACACTAGCGGCGTCGGCGTGGAGCCTTGCTTCGGCGTCGGCGTTTGGTGTTCCGTCGTGGGCTACCGGTGTGCTGTTGACTGAAACGGTGGTTGGTGCTGGGGCTTTGGTGGAGCGAGGCTTCTTGAGGTGTTGCTGTTTGCGTTGGGACTTGTTGCGTATAAGTTGACAAGTTGACCGACCAAAAGAAGCTTGGATTGAGAAAGTGCCCGCCGCCCTCGGCGATGTCTCGAGCCGGAAAGCAGAAGGTTGATTGGGTAATCTTGCATTTTAGAGATAGAGCTCAAATTAGTGTTCCAGTAGTAATGCTGGCTCTAAATGTGATTTTAGAGATAAGGCTCCTCACGTTGACACGACGCGTACGTCAGCCTCTTTTTGTTGGATGGATCTTGGATCTTTCCAGAGGACCATCCATTCCTTCTTCAGATCCATCCCTCTCACATCAAGCACACATCAAGGCGTGCCAAACCAAAACTGCAAAACTCCAATAATAGTCTGACGATGATGATGAGGCTACCCACCTCTACTAGTAGATCGGCTCTTGGAGTCTGGTGGTTCCTAGTAGTATTGCTCCCATGTTCCTTTGGTTTTCTGCCCTACCGAAATTATAATGGAAGCTTTCGGTCCTACCAGTACTATGCGTCCCAGGAGGTGTCAACCACAACAATTACTGCTGCCACAACAGCTACAGCCAGCGAATATGCAACAGAACGAAATATGTTTCATGACTATGACAAACCCATCTTGCTGATTGGATCTTCCTCTTCACCAGAAAATAATGAACTGAACCAACTGGCCAATGGATTTCTACAAGAGCACTTTCCCACGGCGTCCGTGGTGGTACCGTACAATGGCGACTTGTTGCTGGAAGAAATTCATTCCCGATCGTATGCGTGGCCCAATATTGTCCTGGTCGATTTTGCGACTCTAGATACTGCCAAAGTCCAAGACGCCAAGGAGACGGTCCAACGTCTGTACCAAGATGCCGGACTCTTATCGATTTACGTCAATGTCCAGCACCAAGCGTCGGCGGAATTGGAAGACTCTGTCTTGGTTCCGTACTCGGACTATGAACTCTGTATTGCTTCGCAAGATGATTCGGAACACATCCAATGGGAATTGACACGGCTGGTAGCCCGGGCGCGATTGGCCCCCGCCATTCCCGGCTCTACTAGTGGCATCAACACGGCTCACTTGACCATGGGACAACACACCTTTTTTCTTTCGCTCAGTTTTCCCGAAATCGCACAAGTCCAACCGTATGTGAACCAAATGTGCAAGGATGTGGATGCCATGGAATATCGGGCCGATTTGTTGGACTGTCGCGATTCGCGGTTTGACTTGTTGCATGGGATGCAATTGTTGCGGCACTACTGCCGTCCCCATTTACTGCGAAACCCGGCATTGCCATTTTCCGGCAGTGCAATCCTGGAAGATGTCATGCCCATTGTCTATACCGTGCGAACCCAACATCAAGCCGGAACCTATCCCGATGACGTCGAGCAAGGAATTCCGAAAATGTTTGAATTGTTGCACTGGGGATTGCGCGGCGGCGTCGAAGTCCT